TATGACTGCTGCTTGACGGGGGTGGGGGGACCCTCACAAGGATCAGCCAAAATGGCGGGCAAAGGAGGCCCCTCCGAGCGACAGGCCAGAATCTGGGATTCTAGACAGAACCATTGGGGGGAGGGCGGGGGGGGAGGGGGCTGCAGGGGGGGGGAGAATTCTTGCAGGCATTTGGGTACAAGGAAGGCCGGCTCCAGCCAGAGGTTGGGGGCAAACCATCTTCAAGGCCACTCGGACAAAGGTACCCAGGTACAGCTTTGTGCTGCGTGGGTTCAAGGGGGCTGCGCTGGGGACGATGGGGATTGGATTCCTGCATGGAGCAGGGCTGAACTAGATGGCTTTGAGGGTCTGTGCAAGTTGAGGCCTCTGCCGTACACTCTGTTGCTTCCAGATCCTCCCCCAGGCTTCTGGCCTGCTCCTTTGTGGCAGTCGCTTCTGGGAGGACGTAGCTGCAGGAGGGCCGGGAAAGGACAGGAGACCCCCAAGCAGCCGGATTTGGACACCCCCCCCCCCGTTTCCATTCCAGGCCAGTTGCCCAGCAGCTGTTCGGCTATTTAAAGAACTGGGTCTGAAATAAGCCAGCGGGGCTTTCTATGCCTGTGTGAGAGTGCCAGCGAGCAAGGCAATACGATATGTGTGTTTTTGTGTGTCTCTCTGTGTGTCTCTGTGTGTGTGTGTGTGCTGGAGCTTTTGCAGTGGGCTCCTGGCATGTGCAAGAGAAGCGCCCCCTCTTGGCCTGGCAGTCTTTAAAGGGAGAATGCCAGGGTGCCCACTTGAGGCCCCGGGCGTCTCTGCCCAGGCTGGGGGTCAAAGTAGCCATTTCTCGGGCAGGGCTGGGGTGGGGGAGCAGCTGCTGCCTCTTCCCCGGCGAGGCTAGGCAGGAAGATGGCTCCCTCACCACCGCTGTCATCACCGACCTGTCAGGGGAGCCTTCATCCGGAACTCGCCCTCCCCCGCCATGGATTAGCAGCTGAAAACTGACCCAGCCTTGGCAGCCAGAACATCCGAGTGTGTTTGTCTGGTGGGCTGGCAACACCACCGAGTCCCTCCGGAAGGGAGCAGCCAGGCCGCCTTGCCCACTGCTGGCTTGACCCTTGGGAGCCTGGCACTCTTGCCCCAAAGGGAGAGCCCGCATTTCCCACCTCCCAGGCCGTGGGTCTGCTGGCCGGCACTGGCCCCAGAAAGGACCCTTTTGCAGCCTTGCTCGTGGCTCAGCCCCTTCCCTCCTGTCCACCTTGATCTTGGGCTGCAAAGTGGCACGCCTGCCCCCAGCCCGAGCCTTCCCTGGCTCCCCCCTACTTGTGACCTGATCAAACCCACGTCCTTTATGTCGACCAGGCTGGTGACCACCATGGAGGAGTCCAGGGGCCTCCGCTAGCCTCACGCGGGGAGCTCAAAAGGACGACCACGGCAGATGCCTACGAACTGCAGGGGACTTGCCCACGGGTCGTGCGGAGGCAGCCCGCCCCTGCCAGCCTTGTGGGCACCCCTCCTCATTTGGGCCGTCTGCAGAAAGGGGGCAAGCAAGTCGCTCAGGGAAGGAGGGAGTTTGGTCCCTCCGTTGGCCGAAACCTTTGAAGCGAAGCTCTCAAGTGTGGGAGCAGACCAAGGACCAGTCAGCCGTGGCCCTTTGGTGGACACTTGGCAGCTGCAGGCTGAGCCACATCAGCAAATGAGGCCCCGCCCAGCTGGGCAGGGCCGGCCTGGAAGGTATCCTTCTTCCCTCTCTTTGGTGGCTGCTAAGAGCAGCCTCCCAGCCCCCTCTCTTTCCCCCCCCCTCAGAGAAGCTCACAAGCCACAGATATGACTTGGTCCCCCCCCCCCCCGCAGGCTTTTGGGCAGAGAGGCCTTGTCTAGTGCATGCCCCCTCCCATTCCCCCTTTGCAGAAGCTAGAGACGGGGGGGCGCCTGTGGTTGGGGCAAGCAGGTGGGGGGCTCCCCCACCCCTCAGAATTCCAATGGAAAGATGACCGAAGCTCCCAAGGAAGAGGGGCCACAATGCCACGTCCTGCAGAGGGGGGGGGCAACCCATGTATGGGGGGCAATTCAAGGGGGCTGTTAAGGAAAGAGGAGGGGCTTCAGTTCATGCACTGGAACATTCAAGCATTATTTGGACACTGTGAGGGCTGAGTGGCAAGTAATTTCCACTTGCAGTTTGACCGAAGGACAACAATGGCTTTTGTGTGTGTGTGTGTGTGTGTGTGTTGCATCACAAGACCAAGGGCAACCTTGGAGTTCCAGAGAAAAGCACCGGAACAGTCGGGCAGGCTGGCTGGGAAGCGGAGCAGGGCCTGCCAGCCAGCCAGTCGGGGTTGGACGGAGATGGCCCTCCGGGGTGGCGTCCTAGTGCTCTGGGCTGGGCCGTCCCCAGACAAGAAGGGAAGGCAACGGCTTCCAACGGTGCCTTTTCTCCTGCAGCCCCCATCTCTCTTTCAGCCAAGGCCCCCTTCCCTTGCAGGAGGAGAAGGCGGCACCCCCCCCCCACCCGCAGTCGACCTGCCCTGCAAGCATCAGAGAAGCCACCGACCCGCTCTTGCCTTCCCCACGTGCTCCCAGGGAGGGGGACATGGCAGTGAAGGGGGGACTTGGCGGCTCGGGGGAGGGGATGCCTGGAAGAGCCCCTCGAGGCGCCGAGCAGTTGCACGTGTCCAGCGAGAGCATGCGTGGAAGGGCTGGGGGAGGGGGCCAACTAGTCTCGGCGCTTCTGGAAGTCTCTCCCTCCCCTTGCCCGGCCGCAGGCGGTCCAGGTTTTTAATAGACCTGCCACCCCCAGGTCCCCCCCCTTCAGCTTCCTGCAGCTGCTCTGTTGGCCGTGGGAACAGCCTCGCAGCTGTGGGGGCACAGAGCCGAACCCCCCCCCAGCGCCAGGCACGCAAGCTGCGCACGGCTAGATAGCTAGGTGGCTGCCGGTCCCAGGAGTCCCGGTCAGGGCTCCCTGTGCCCCTCCCTCCAGCACGGGAGACCCCGACCTCGGCTCTTCCTCTCTCCCCGCCTGCTTTCAGAGGACGCGACGCCTCCCCCCCAGCCCTT